CTCAGTTGTTCCTGGAACCTACTTTTGGTTTCCTCGCTACTCAGTTCGGTTCTAATGGGTCTTTTTACTGTGGCTTTTTTGCGTCCAGTGAGGCGCAAGCAGATGCGTGCCCGTATTAGGGCATGGTCGGAGTCCAAGCAGGTACTCCAGAATGAGCGACAATCTTCTACCGACCCTCTCCAACGATGACTGATGGCAATATGGTCTATTTGAGTCCATCGTTGGTTTGGTGTAGGAGGTTGCCATGTTAGACGATGTCTTTCCTTACGCTTAAAATTTGTGTTTGCTAAAAATAAGCGATTGTCTGAGCACAGTTGCAGCAGACGGTCACCATTATCTGTTCGCTGTGCCGGAATGCTAAAATATCCACCTAAATGCCTTTCTGTTTGGTTTAAGCTATCTATCTGAGCATTAAAGTCACCCCCTATGAGTACTATGTCTGACCGTTTAGCTTTCTGAAGGAGTTCAGAAAGCTTTCTGTAAAATTCATCTTTCACATCATCTGAGCCGCAGTCAGTGGTAGCGTAGGCAGAAACGACGAAAAGGCAACGACGTGTATCCCTATCCTTCCGAGTTCTTACGGAGCCGTTTAACCGAACAGCACATAGACGACTGTTGACGGGGATCCACTCTAGCAGTGCTTGTTCCGCCCTCATGCTCAGTGCTATGCCTACACCTGCCAGTCCACGAGAACTTGCCATCGGGTCACCAGATACACGGAGGGTGTATCTCGTTGGCTCTCCGTTTTGCCGAGGTGAGGTCAAGTGAATGACCACACTGGAATCCTGTATGCGTGTTTCGGAGACACAGCATACATCAATGGAAAGAGACTCTAGGGTTTTAGCCAAGGAAGCCTGCTGACCGGTTTGACATAGGGTGCGTACGTTGGAAGCTCCAATGTGTAGTTTAGAGCGAGGTTTCAGTAGACCTGGGACAGGGTTTTGAGCACTAGAATCGTTGGCTATGGTGACACTTGAGGAGGAAGCCGAAAGAGGAAGTTTAGAGTGGAAAGTCGATGTAGGAGGAATAATAGGAATTGAAGAGGGAGGTTGATTATGAATACAGTGGTCTCGAGTGCTGTTAGAGGTATGAGGGCGGTTATCACTTCCCGGTTGCCCACACCGAGGAAGGGTTGTTCTGGAGGTACCTGAAAAGGAAATTGGATTAGAGGTGGTCTTATTGACCTGAGAGCGTGACCGCAGTGCCCAAGGGACAACTGCTTGAGGCCGGTCGCGCACGGCCTTTTCGTGGGAGGTTTTTGACGTGTTAGTTCCGTTCTTCAAAAGGCCTTGCCGCCGGATACGGAAATCCGTGAGGTAAGGTGAGGTGTGCATTTTTAGGGTCGACCTTTTCTAACCCCACCCCTCCTTGTGGGAAGGCAGCATCGCTGTCATGCTGGTTGTCTGAAGGAAACACCTTACTGCTGTCACACCTCTGTATAGTCAGCAGTACGACTTCGCCTTCGGACCTTGGGTTTGTTGCTTTTAGTCTTACCGCTCTTCAACCGACCTGTCTGGTATGGTAGGACCTTGAGGAACGGTTTTTCCAGCCAGTATAGCTCGGTTGCTTCATCACGATAGGCAAGCCCGACCACCACGTCAAGGTAGCAACAACGGTCGGGAAGGTAGCAACAACAGTCGCTAGACAATGCTTAACACTTTTTAGTGGAACAGATATAGGTATGATAAATTAGTAGATTGAACTCATGCTAACTCTTGTTGTTGTAGTGAAATGTGGTTAGAGTCTCCAGATAAGAGAATGTGGTAATAAAAATCAATGAGTTGTGATATTCAACGAGGTGGAGCAGGTTCAGATGTGGGGAGGGAAGTCGAAGTTAGGATAAAGAAGTCTGCTTATTAGAGTGGACAGTGTACCAAGAGAGTAAAGTGTTATGAAGCACTAATGACTATATCTTTTATTCTCTGGTGTTTTTTAGTTTTTCTCATCTGATGCGAGACACAAGGTCCTGATGTAAAAGTCCGAGTCAGCATGTTATGGGGTTGTCTTAGTAGAATAGCTAATCCAGCATGAAATTGAAAACTATCTTGAATTCGTTGAGTTTGTGTGTATGTCGAATGAAGGCTGTATTAAACTTTTGTAATGCTGTTTCTCCAGTTGTCCAGTGCTTCTTTGGCTTCATTTTCATCTTAATAAGCACCAAGTGGTGACCTAAAGATATGTCGGCTCCTCTCTTGTTTCTCACGTCTTTAATTGATCTTCTGAATTTTGTAGTGATGCAAATATGATCGCTCTGGTTCTCTGTGGTGTGATCTGGTGAGACAGATACGTGAAGCTTTCTGTGTGCGTTTGTGTGGGAATATTGTGCTACCTATAATTATTTTGTTGAATGCACGTGAATCTGCGAATCTGTCATCATTCTCATTCGTTTCTCCCAGTCAGTTCATGTCATCTCACTCTATCTTCATATCCGATGTTGTCCATTCCGACTTTGGTGTTTAGGTCTCCCACCAGGATGGTCTAGTCGTTTCCTGAACACTTTTCTATGATCGACTGCAGTCTCTTGTGAAACTGGTCTTTTTTTATCGTCGTTACTATAATTGGTTAACATTCATTGTGATTCCCTCTTTCTTTGTTCATAAAGATGCATTGATAATTCTGGATCCATGAGATTCCCATTCTATAAGTGCATTACGTGATTCTTTGGATAGCATTAGTGCAACTCCTAGTATGTAGGGCATTTTCTTCGTCGCCGGGGTGCAACAGCACCTCTCTCGAAGCCAATCCTTTCTGTTCAGTTTGCTTCCAGTGTGTTTCACTTGTTCCAATTATCGTCAGGTTGTATCTCCTCATTTCCGCAGCTATTTGATTGGCCCTCTCAGTCTCCCACATTGTCCATACATTTTGTATACCCATACTAATTGTTGCTCTGGTTGTTGGAAAGGACGTTAGCCTTGTGATTTTTGAAGACTCTCCTCTTACTCTTATGTAAGTGGTGATGTGTGTACTCTACTCTGGAGCTCTAGACAAGGTCTCAATTACTATCAAATACTTACTGATTATCGATGTTTCTCTAACTAGTGTTGATTTTCTGCTAGCTGCTTGCTTGGAAATGTATTATTTCCTAAGGATTGTACGCGAATCAGCCAATGGTTCTTTAATAATCGCTGTTTCGAATTTTAAGTCGTGTTCGTATCGTAAAATCATGCTCCGTAGAACTTGAATACAGAATGGCTGATTCTCTAGCGCACACTAAAGTAGTGTAAATATCCACCCTTTTCTCCTGTATCATTGATCAGTGCAGTGGATAAACCCTTGAATTGGTTTTGTTTACTCTATAGTTTGAGCGGCGGCATTGTAACAAGGGTAAGGCAGTAACTGACTGACTGACTGAAGGCAATAACTTATGAACGGACCAATGAAATTAGAGACTACAAGCCTTGGATTTTGGCGCGAAGTCCATTCGTCCATATAGTTAGATTAGGAGTGAGGATAAACTTCACTCGTTCTCAATTTTGACCAACCAAAATGAAGCGGAAATCATTATTTACACTATCTTAATTGATAGTGGAGGGTATGTCTCGTTCTCTGTCGTTTTCGTTGGCTACTATGAAAAATGTAAGGTTCCATACGACGAAAATACCACTCCACCATGCTATGGATGTGTCAATTTTCGCTCACCCAGTCATGATAGAAGGAAAGTTACAACACGGCATAGGCATGCATCCAATTATTTCAAAGTGTCTATAATTGAGTGACCATATAAACGAAAACAAAACCGTAATTACTGACCATGATATACTCAGATGATTCGATAACGTGCAGTTTGTCCCCACCATTTTGGTATTTAATTTTCAATTCTAACTCCTCACACTAACTTATAAACCTCTTTTGATCCTAGTAAGTGAATTTTCTGAAGGTCATTTCGGCGTCGCTGAAAGGTCATCTTTAGATTATAGTCTCACAATGGTAAGTAGTTGGAGAATAATTGGTTTGCGTCCACTTATCACAATGATTCGTTCGTTGATATTTCGATTTAAGCCAATTTATAACGTTAACTGCAAATTTACGTTCTTATTATTGATAAAATGTCAAATTCAACAGATCTAGACATGATAATTATCAAAATTATTCATAATCAAAAGAATCTTTGTCATAAAGTTGACAACTATCTAGTTGTTATTGTGATGACGGACCACCGGTGAACTCGAGGAAGCTGTAAGAGGCTCAGAAGGAGCCGAAGACGTCTTATTCAATCACCTTTCGGAAGAATATTCTAGAATTCCAACGTGTAGCTTCCCGATTGGATAATGCTAATAACCTCCTGTATGCGGATTGGAAGACTGTAATGATGATTTCGTTCTCACTAAAAACTATAAATACCTGACAATTTTGTACTATGATTGACACTGTTTGGAATAATATTCCTTTCGTTAATCTTCTGTCTTCTTACTGCGACTTGGAAGGGTTTTGGTATTGAATATTCACAACTGGAAATCTTATAGTTCGTATTTATCTACCAACATCTACAGCTTAAACTATTCAAAATTCCTAATGTGGAAATAAGAACAACACATATCAGTGAACAATACTGTTTTCAACTAGATCTTCATCTGTTTTTTTTCTAATATGCAGTAATATATTTATGTGCATATATATAAGGAAATACTAAACCAATCATGCTAGTTTGTAAGACAATGGTAACAATGAAATAGATTACATATTTAAACATATATGTTTTACTGCATCATTCAAGTAAAGCCTGATAGAGGTCTAATTAACATCGATAACGTTCTTTTATATGTATTGTAGTATTACAGCCTAGACAGTGTAATGACACTTTTCAGGTGACTTAACCATATCTAACTATGTAGTTGTAATATTACGTGTATACTTGTTTATATTGTTACTTTCATTTCTAATTATGTATGTACACAAATACTCGTTACTATCCTCGTAAAAGTTTTCATTGTGATCTCTTTTCGTTTTGGTGCTGTCATTATATTGTTACTCATTTCCTATCATCCCCCCTCAATTTTCAGACTGTAACAATTGCTGTATATGGATATTTTGGTACATGTTTACTTGCATGGCAGTATTTAGACCCATCGAAACAATATGAAGGTCATGATGTTGATATTTATGTGCCAATTTTCGGTTTACTACGTTTCTTCTTCTATATTGGATGGCTGAAGGTTAGTTCCATGTGTTATGTCTTTAGACGTTGATTGATACCACGTCCAAACGTCACTAACCAGAATTCTGATTATAATTGTTTCCCGTTCCATGTCTACTATTTCTTCCGTACCCTAGTATTACTAAACTTGACGTTCACAGTTAACCTTGGGCCGATGCAAGCTAAGCTCTTACTGGCTCGGTACTTCCAAGCTTTTCTCTATCCATTGCATTGAATTCAACGGCGAGTCAACAGTCAGCTTCTATTACATTATATTTCAACCACATGTGGATTTATGTACAGAAATACATCATACCATAAAATAAAAAATCACGCTTATACATAAGTATGCTAAAAAGGTCCATAAATAGTGCAATCTGTAAGTAATTAATTGGCAGCAAACTGGAAATAATAAGCTGCATCGTAATAGTGAGTTGAAGAAAAGCTAACGATAACGAATTTATAAACATAGTAATATAGTTACTTAGTAATTTGTCAATAAGAATCCATAAATTATGGGCAGAGATGGATGGTGACTAGCAGTGGAATTTAGGACGCTCGTTTCGTCCTGTTTTGGACTTGTCAGTTAGATTTACCTGCATCCCAAAGTTGATATTCACTCCGAGACTCGAACCCACTACCGTTCACTTCAAACGCCATCTCGTTATTCAGATAGTTACTAGCTTGTGCAATGGGTTGAAGTTTTAATTCATTTTATATTGCTTGTTTGAATCTTTCCAATGATGTTTAGGACTGAGATTGATCCACCAAACAGTTTCTGGAGTTATCGGTCCTCCAATCTTCGTTCTGAAACATTCACCACTATTATTATTATTATTATTATTATTATTATATGTAATATCTATAACTTTATATATATATATGGTTGGAGTTTTGGTGTGTATATATTAGACGTCCTAACAACTCACTATCATATACATTAATGTTATTTTGGCTCTTAAAAGTTGTAGTGAACAAGCAGTAAGAATTAATGAATGTTTAGTTGATACTCTTCAATACCTGTATATTAATATATCCAACTGCTTCTACGTACATTTATTTATTTATTTTGTTTTGAATAAAACTTTCTGATATTTGACCGTGTTATGCATTAGATTTGTGTTACACAATTCAGACGTCCTTTATAGATTAAGCGTATTTAACCAATAGAAATAATAAGACTTTTAAGATTACATTAGTTTAATGAATCTTATTAGTTTCTGAAATCCATAATATAAATATTCAACTTTAATAGTAGTTTTTGGTTGAGATCATGAAACGGCCGTCCAGTGCTTCCAGGTTTCTAACGGTGGTCTAACATCAATTGATTCATGATCTCAACCAAAAACTTAACACTCTCCACAACCCCCATACTGATTTAATAGTAGTGCCTCCAAATGCCCTGGTATGGCCGAGAGTGGGGAGAGTCCGCTCTCCCTCTCGAAATGCTCTCACATGGCCACGCGTATATAGCCTCTGACAAGGGAGTCCTACTCACCGCCTTTTCGTGGCGGGGGTGTTGTTTACGAAATTGAGAGGACGAAAAGCGAATGTCTGGCGCTTTAACCGGGTTGGTGGACATGGTGAGTCCACCTAGGGGAGTTGGAATGCCCTGATTACAAACCAATGGTGCACATGGGCCCCAGTATACTGAAGAAACAAATGGAGTATGAACCAATCGTCGGTCACCGGCTACCATGGGACTTCATCTTCTTCCGATGCTCCACTGCCTTGTGGATCGGACCTTCAGGTCGAAGGCTCCAGGTGTCCCCCCCTAAGACAACCACCTGCTTCGGTTTGAACACCCGAGCAGTATCACAGCCCTCACACATATCAAATGAGATCTGTGTGGCGCATATGCATTTGGTGCCTCCTTGTACTAATATTTGTGTGTTAAAATAAATAAATAATCAATAATAGTAGAAATATTACTGTAGAATTTCGTCCTAATGAATGTGAATCGGAAGGGAGTTTTGTGGAGATTTTAGTAATTTCAATAGTTGACTCATGATTTCAACTATCGGAATATGAATCGGTTTCTTTCTGGATTATTGTTAATAGTGATAAATACTTCTATGAAATATTTTCAATTATAACTAATTTATCTAAAAGGTGATCAAATAGAGTGATTAATTTTTAACATTTTTACAATACTAATTTAGATGTTACTCATTGAAATTTATTAATCAAGTGATTCAATTTTTAGGTTAAGTTAAAAAACAACAACAATGATCCTTAGTTATTACCACTCAATAAACATAGTTACAGTGTTTTACACTGTCATTTATACTTTATAATGTTAGAATCGAATTTCTTCTATCAATAATCAAAGTTTTAAGTACTCTGTTGTTTATAGGGTGGTATCTTTTCAAGGTTTCTTATTTTAGAGTTTTTGTTTTCTAAGTTTAAAAAAAAACCCCACCAATCTCTTTCTTGATTCTGATATTCTCAACTCTACAGTTTATTTGTATCCAACTTGTTTATTTTATAACTTAATTCGACTTGTAATTTGTATTTTTACTAATAGGTTGCAGAGTCATTAATTAATCCATTTGGTGAAGATGTTGATGATTTTGAAATTGAATATTTAATTGAAAGAAATTTACAAGTGAGTTATTTTGTATGTTTAGTTATAATTCATTTTCATGTGATCTATATATATATATATATATATATATATATATATATATATATTCTACAGCAATTTGGAAGACTCTCCTGGTCCCCCACATTCTACGAGCATTCCGTGTACCTAAATTAATGGTTTCTCTGGTTGTTAGAAGGGGCATCAGCCTCGTGACTTCCGAAGGAACTAGGCTTTTACCATGAGGCGTCATAGCTCTTCTAAATGAAGACCTTCTAACTCCCAGGGTAGAGTTTAAATGATTTGAATTTTCTTTTTTGGTTAGCGTTTTTTTTAGCGAGTTAGTTTTCTACAGGATGGGGTCGCTAACCTCATGCCCGACCCTCCTCTCCTTTATCCGGGCTTGGGACCGGCAGTAGCCCCAGCGGGGATATATATATAGATATATATATATAGGCATCAGTTGGTTATTATTGAAAATGATCTTTAGAGATTGCCATAGTGTGAAAAAACCAGATTCATTGCCAAATACCACTGATGACATCAACTATAGACAGTTCCAGTGAATGGACAATAATAAGTTCGTGGAAGCTTTATTTTTTTGGCTGATATGCTGCATAAAGAGATTGAAGTATTGTAACACTTAAGCGTATCAGACTAAATCCTATTGTGATCACTACGTAGAAATCAAATATCAGCCTATATAATCTGGTCTCTTTCTGACTTTTGTTGAAGCTTTTACTGTTTGAAGGCAGTAAGATTTCTCTATAGAAGATACAAGCATTCGGCTTTATGAGAATATATTGAAAGGGAAAGAGGACTGTCCTCATAGTCGTAGGGTTTTTCTGATTTATATATTCTATATTAAAAGAACAATATTTTCATGATATCTGAATGAGTAGCAGTTTGTATTTCTGACGTTTCGTGATTTAATATAAGTCACTTTTTCAGTATAAATAAATAACGGAAACAAATTAACAGAAGTTTAAATAGTATAATGGAAATAAAGCAGAATATTTCTTGTTCAATCAAAACCATAATAGGTCTGAACATGTCAATGTGTTATTTTTAGTCAAGGCGATTCTGTACGAGACATCTTTGTGCTTATTTATGTGCATGATGGTGGGTATGAAAAAATGTGTAATTTAAAGTATAAAGTAAAGTTACAGTTTGAGCGTGTGTTTGTGTAGATTGTGTGTGTCAAACGTAGTTTTATGGATAAACAATTCAATTTTTTTATTTTGTCTCACCAAACTAAGTAGGAGAAGCCATGAGGCTTCTTGGGAAAAGAATAGAGCTTTTGCAGAGTGCGTGACTGGAGCACTGCAGAAAGCAAAGTAAATGGATATATCAGAAATTTACTTAGTTACATTTCTTGTATGAGTAGGGAATTCGATTTATATCGTGCGAATGAACACGTTAACAATCTGCACTTTCCTATCACATTTAGAAACCTTGTAGCAAATCAAAAGCGTTTAGAGCTATAATAAATACACCAGTGTGGGATGTTATACTGCCGCAAGTATGCGTTACATGTATATATAGAAGGCATAGATGGAAGCATATACACTTCATAGTATACACATAAGCTTAGATCGATCGACCCCAGACTGTTGCCCAGTGGTTACGAAACACTGAATGAATAACATGTAGTTAAATCAATCGGTTTGTAAATCGTTATTTGACGGTGTGATCTCTTCACGCCCATAACATAAGAAAGCTTAGTGTCGACCTTTTTGCACTGGGTACGGCACAGTTTCTGTTCATACGCTGTGACCCTCCCCTGCAAGACTTGATGGGCCTTTCCAGATTGAATCCACCCAGGCACCAAAAAGCAAATTTTTCAGTTCTGCCTTTCACTCTTATCCATACAACGCACTTCATTCATCAGATATTAAGACAGAGTGGATGATTAACCCGATCTTCACTGGTTTAAGTTAAGTAGGTGGTTAACGCGATCTCTACCTGGCCTCCCGTGTTAGCTCATGGACATGGGTAACTAACATCAGGGCACCAAGAAGAGGTGCTAGCCGGTCTTTGTCCTGGATAAATAGTCCAAGTTGGATGAACAGTCAGTCCTTTCCTATCGAGGGTAAAGGGATTTTGCATTATATGAAACATTTCGACTTTTCTCCTCTCTTTATAGTTGAAAAAAACTTTCTGAATTATTTTGATATTTTTAATATTGACTTGGTGGTTACTGAATAGAATATGTGCTGCTATTAGTGATTTAAATTTTTAAAATTTTGAACTCTACAGGACTATTAGGTCTTTTTGTGTAGCTTGAGTGTTCGTTTTCACGAGAAGCCTCTTCAACTTGGAATACATCTTTACCGATTCAACCTAGTCTGTGAATACAATTTTGCGTGGATGTAAAACTTTGATACTATTTGAACTTGCATAAATTTATTTCGGTTATTTATTTATTTACTCGGAAGAAGTGACTTCACATTAAATCACGAAACGTCAGTAGTATAAATTTCTACTCATTGGGATATAACAAAGAATTATTTTATAATAATTAACTTTTCTATTCAATGCTAAGTTTACTTGAAACTATCAAGTCCGAATCTTGGTATTGTTATCTGTATTTTCTATGTTTAATTGTTTACTAATATTAAGTATTATTTCAATACGACGTGCGATGTTTTATGGTGTAGGACTAGGTTGGAAGAAAGCTAGGAGTAGCCAGACCAAAACATGGCACAAATCCATGAAGTCACTGACAATTGAACTGAGCCATGTTGGTAGGTGTAGACTACCTGGTTGAGATCAGCGAAATGATAGAAACGGGTGGTTAGAGACCTTGAATGACATGGCTCAAAATCGTGTGCGATGGCACATGTGCATCACCTCTGTGTTCTCCCAAATCCTAATCTTCCGAATTCTTCATGTCGCTTTTCTTTTTCTCTTTCCAAATTTATTTCACTGTATTATACTCCTTGAGTAACATCCTCAAACCCTAATGTTTCTGATTACTGCTTATACTTTTACTACCTCTACGTTTAGATAGAGTCGAATTTCCACCAAAGACGAGCTGCTATATAAGTCGAAAAAATAAGTATAGACAGAGTAGGAATAAAAGAGGGTGAATAATGTCGTAGTAAATAATAATAATAATAATAATAATAATAATAATAATAATAATAATAATAATAATAATAATAATAATAATAATATTAACAATAATAGTAAAGATAATAATTGATTCATTTGATTGTTATTCGAAACGAGAAAAATAGTTTCTATAGATATAGAGAGTTCATCATTTGCGTGTGGGCTGTGATACTGCCCGAGTGCCCAGACCAAAGCAGGTAGTTATCTTAGGGGGACACACCCCGAGCCTTTGACCTAAAGGTCTAACCCACAAGGCAGTGGAGCATCGTAAGGAGATGCAGTCCTATGGTAGCCGGTGACCAACGATTGGTTCATACGCCATTTGTTTCTCCAGGATCCTGGAGCCCATGTGGACCATTGGTTTGGAATCCGTTTAAAGTGCCGGACATTCGCTTTTCGTCCTCTCATTTTCGTAAACAACACCCCCACCACGAGAATGCAGTGAGAAGGACTTCCCTGGCAGAGGCTGTATACACGTGGCCGTCTGAGAGCATTCCGAGAGGGATGGCGAACCCACCCCACTCTCGGCCATACCAGGGAATTTGGGTGCTATCAGATATGGCTCAGAATAGAAGCTAGTGGCGATCCTGCTGTAACCTTCTTTTACTTTCTTCATAAAAAAAAGTGGTTGTGTCTTCCTTAATTGAAAGATTTCTTCTGATTGTATCTTTCCGTTCCCCCAGTTTTACCATTATTATTACACCACCTTACACCAATGTCTTCGTTATTATTCTCCTTTTTTTCCTTCCCCTTAAATTCTCATTGTTTTGTGTGGCGCATATATATTTGGCGCATTCTTGTACCAATATTTATGTGTTCAAATAAATAAATACCTCTACCACTATGGTATTTGAATCGACAGTTATATCTTTGTGCTAATATGGTGTTGCAACTCGAACTGATGTACGTACATACCAAGTTCTACGTTGTTACTGACTGACTGATTATTTCAATAATTTTACTATACCTTGTTTTACACTTATTTGAACTAAGTAGAATTTCCTGTAAGAATTTCTTTATTTAAGTAAACTATCCATGTTACAGTATGATTATATGTATGCCATGATTAATAAATTTTAAATATATATATATATATAGGGTAAGACAGAAGAAGCTATAAACAAGTTTTTATCAGTAACTTAAAAAACAAACACGCACACACATATACCATTTTCTCAATATATTATTGTAAAATCATGTAATCCGCTGAATATTAATGCAGAGAGATGCATAAGATTGTACTTCATGTATATCAGGTTAACTAATGACCTAAACTTGACTATTCTTCATTTTCTTATAATCATATATACATATATGCATTTTTTAGTAATCTAAGATAAATTGGCATTGCATTAATCTTTCATCTTAAAAAAACAAAACATAGATGGACTTTTATTTGTATGTTGTCTTTATAAAATAGAATGTATATTGCATAGAATGAGCATAATGCATAAATGATGAAATTTATTATCACATATTGAATAAATCTGTCCCATAAATGACTTCACTTGAATAAGGATATTCAGATAATCATAACTGTTTATTTTATTTTTCTCTCTACAAAAAGTGGTTTCTATAAAGTTACAAAATGTTAGAAAATTTAATTTTCAACTCATTGAAATATTATAAGTATATCATTAGACTTCAAAGTGGTTTTCTACAGTACAGTCTTCCAAATGATTAACAAATAAGAAAGCATTAATAATAATGATAATAAATTTTATAACTCTTTCAACAAGTTTAGTAAGCCTTGTGATACAGTAGTTTAGTTGATAGTACACTAACTTTTAAAGTAATGAACAATGGGGTATGTTATTGCAAAAGTTGAATATAGGCTTTCTTCAACATATTCACAAACTCAACGCATTTAAGATAGTTCTCAAAACCAGGTTCCAAGCCTTGAAAGATCTACTCAAATAACAAGAAACTACCATAGACAACAAATGAAAAGAGATCAAACAAGTACTGACTTCAACGTGCCAGGAGGTTCTGGACCTCAACAAGCATCATCATAAAGAATGGATCTCTATCGAAATCCTGGACAAGTTTCAAGAAAGGAAGAAGAAGACAGCAATTATGAACAGTCGAACACTATCAGAAAAGGCCAAGGCACAGACTGAATACACAGAAAAAACAAGAGGGTGAAGAAGAATTGTAGATTCGACAAGTAGAAATACGTGTAAGGTTTAGCAATGGTGGCGGAAAAAGATGCAAGTGAAGGAAATGTGAAACAAATACATGGTACAACGAATAAACTGGTAGGGAAATATAGTAAACTGAAGCGATCAGTCACGAAGGCAAATCAATGACTGGGATTAATGAACAGAGGGACAAGTGTGAAGAATACTTTGAATATCACTCCACCAACGATCGAACAAATCAGGATGGCCATTAGACAATCCAAGAGTGGGGAAGCATCAAGACTAGATAATACACCAGTTGAAGCACTGAAGTCAGAAATAGAAGCACGAATTACAATGAACAGTTTAGATGCATGTATTTGTGAACATATGTCTACATAAGATATATGATATCCGTCAACCGGATGTCATTAACAACAAGATACGGCTGCAGAGAACAAACCAGCTTCCATCCGAAGAAATTGAAAAAAGATGTTGGAGGTGGATAAGATGAATATTGCGGAGCTCATCAAGCTGTATCTCGAGGTAAGTTCTAACTTGGAATCCTGAAAAGAAACGGAGAACAGGAAGAGTAAGGAACAAATGTGTAGGGAATCGGAGACGGACGTCAAAAGAATGAATTTGACCTGAAAAAACACTGGGAAGTATTGTTCTAGACAGTTGGATAGAGGATGCTGGTAAGCGGCCCATACTCCCTCACGTGGTGTAACGGGCGTAAGTGTATAGGGACTACAAATTTCATAGTAAATATTAATAATGAGATGCTGGTACATCTGGTTGACGAGTTCGAAATAGAATAGCACACATTTTTGTTGATGCTACTAATTACTAAATTAATTAAATTGGATTTGTTAAGATTTCTCATGGATAAACATGGAAGATGTTGTGAGCTATGTTACGATCAAAGCAGTTACGCACTAAGAGGATTAGATAAACATTGTGCTATGTTGTGAATCTTTGAAATTTAAAATGTAAACTTCAGAATGATAACATAGTATCTGAGTAGCACTACCATGCTTATTATACTTATGTTTATGCATCATAATACCTATGTGGGACTCTAAAACCGAGAATCAGGGATGACGTGATGAACTGCTTATGGATAATTTAACTCATAGATTGACTACTTTTTTTCCTTTATCTTAGTTTATTAATTCATTTACCAGGTACTCATTTGTGTACTTGTCTTCGAGCCACACTTCTGGTGTGCGAGGTAGAGATTTTATCCGGTTGACCAAACTGGATTAGATGGAGTGAGATCCATACCTACAACTTAGTGGTAGGACACTGGATATCTTAACCATCAAACCACTGCCCTTATATCAACAAATAATTGGGAGTAGCACACACGTATAATTGATGTACGATGGCCTTGAAAATAGATGAGATAATATACCAAAAGAGCTACGATTCAGTAAGAAAATAACTGCTTTTATCGTGGTAAAAAAGAAAGATGGATGGCCCAAAACAATACAAGTTCAAATTTAAAAAATGTAAATGAAGCCATTCGTGAGTGGTTTCGTCCTGAATATTTAACACACCTCAACAGTTTCCCCAATAATTCGGGAAAACAACACAGTTTATTTCTTAAGACGAATGAATTACTAGTATTCAAGTTGAAACAATTACCTCTATAACTCACTTAGATAAAACGTGGTAGAAACGAAAACATAACTTTAAATAACTATGATTACGTGGTGTATTTCTTCAACATAGAATGATTCAATTTATCATGTGGTTCATCATTGATTAGTTTTTTTTTCTCGACTGATTGTATATCATTTGTTGGCACTGTCAATTTCCAAAGAGATATATTTATAGACGACATTAAAGTCAATTTATTTTCTCTCTAAAAAGAGCAATTATTAGATAAGTTAATTAAAAGAATAGATCGTATCAAATAAAAGGATTCTAAATGTGTATAGAGAAGATCTCAACAAAAATCAAGTTTTCAAACCTGATTGATATTGATAAAAGTAAACGAAATATGATCATCACAAACAATACTTAAGAAGTGTTTTCACAATATTCTCTTGATTAACTATGATACAAGTTGGCAACAAAGTGCAAATTTCATACACATAGTTCCCTTTATTATCTTAGAGCAAGAACAAAGATTGGTGCAGAATAATAAATGGATTCATTTTATTTCGTTAGGTTTTCATCAGCTGCTTACAACCCAAAATATTTGAAAATCAACGTTATTACAGATGTTGACCTACTTATACATAAGTCAAAAGTTGATTAAAGATGTATCATGATGTAGCAAACATTTCAATAGAGTTAATAAGGTCAACATTGTCATCGCAAGATATCTGGTTGACACAGAATATGAAGTCGATACACTGCAGTCCTTCAAAGTGATTAACAAACAATAAAACTCCAACCTTTTGAAATTTGCCGAAGCCATAGCAATCAAACGTCTTAAACCAGATCTATGTGTAGAAAAAGAGAAAGTAATAAGTTTTTCTTTACCCTGGTAACATTAAACCCCCTTACGTCATCCATTATTTCAACTCTTTCTGAAGTGTAATTGCATCATTGTCATTTTTCTTTAATTCATAAATGACTGATTTCAATTCAGTTGCTTAATTACACAATCATTTGATGTTTGTTAACTCCATGAGTTCTATACACTGTTTCAGTGTTCTAGAACTTTCCCTCCCAAACTTTGTTTATCCGAAACAAATCCTTATGACCTTATTAACAGTTGATACAAATAATCATCTCTAATCACTTTCGTAATTATAAGTTTGTCAATATCTGTAATAACGTTGATTTTCAAATATTTTAGGTGGTAAACAACTGATGAGAACCTACCGAAATAAAATGAATCCATTTATTATTCTGCACCAATCTTTGTTCTTGCTCTCTTTAAAAGTGCAGATTATATTTTTTTCGTTCATTCATTGATAACAACATTGACTGTCTGTATGACAGTATTTAAGAATTGTACATCAACCAATTTTAAATCGTGATACTCGATGAATTCATTAAACTATTTCAATATAGTTTGATGTAGCCTCGTTTATGGTGCATACTTAATACCTATTCGAATAAAAATTTGCATTCGATAATTCTGTTCTAGATAAGTTGGTTTAATAAACTTGATATGTAGTCTATGTAATTTGTATAATTAGGGGTGGCCAAACCAAAACGTGGCATCAGTGCATAAAGTCACTAACTTCTAGTCTGAGCTATGCTGACTACTTGGTTAGGGTCCGCGTGATTATCGTAACCAATGGTTGGAGACTCTGTGTGACATGGCTCAGAATCGATCACAATGGCATAGGTGTATACAGTGTTTGTCTTCCCTCAAACTATGAGATTAGAATTGCTTTATATCTTTCTTTCTACGAACTAATTCTTTCTTCCTGTATTATTATATTCTTATTGCGATCTTTCTTTTATATATTACCACCACTGAATTAACTACTATGAATTCGGTGTTCATTTTTGTTGTGCTAATGAGGTGTGGCAACTTGGACCGATGCATATATGTGCCTGGTCCTACGTTGTAGCGGACTGACTGACTGTAATTTGTATAAATACAACATAGTAAGAAAATCTTATCCAAATTCAATAGCTCTATACTATTAGCTTATTACTGTGAATATTTGATTTTCAACCGATTTGCCACTAATTCGTACCCATTACACAAAACAGAAACATGTAACTCAAAATCAAATACTTATTTTTTTGTGAAAAGTATGGATAATATTGTCAGTAAACTTGATATATGAAATATTGTATTAACTCTTAGATGGTGGCCCAACTGTGATAATGTTGTACACACAAAACCGTTTGTTATTTCGTGATTTGTCACGTTGAGTGACATGTTTCATGGTAATTCTCTTGATCATTTTCATGATTTTCTAAGTCCACTGATCCTTATTTCCTTGAATCATATCTTTTATACCTAGTTTTTTTCTACTACCACTGATATTACTACTTATACTACACTGGAATTCCTCTATTTCGATGTGGTGTAGTAACCGGAACGAAAGAATATATTTACTAGATTCTACTTTGTGTACAGCTGACTATAGAATCAAATTCTTCACATTAAAATATAAGTCAATTATATATAACACAATATTATGTGTGTTTTTTCTCGCTGGCTAATCACAGCTTCGATTGACTGGATACAGCGCTTTTTCGGAAATCTTTTGAGTAGGTTTCTTATCTAATTGTCGATGGAATGCATCATGAGCATCCTGATCTTGTACGTGATGCATACTGGAATACTACGGACATTGTACTACCAGACTGGACAAAAATTGCAACTGATGGCGGTGCTGCAGAAGCCAATTTGGATGCATCAGAAGGAGCTGATAAATTTATTGGCTCGTTAGCAAATATTGATGTTACCGAACGTAGACCAAGTGTATTATTTTGGAATAGTTCAAATCTGCACCGACGAAGGACATCTTCAACGAGTGCAAAGTAAGTTTGTTTCTAAATAGTTTTTAATACAACTATAAGAATAATTGTGTGTAAAGTCCAACTATCAAATTGTGAGGTTATTACTGCTGGACAGGTCAATGAAAATATGAAAGTTCTTATCTCGTGAATTAGTCTATGTATTTTTTTGTTTGTTTAGTAAGCATTGGGCTTATAGTGTTTTTAGATCTTCCAGTTGTAAATTTTCGTTTTATTCGTTAACTATTACCAAATCTTTGGCAGGTAGTACATTATTGTTAATTAATTGTAAACATAATACGTAGATTTATACCATAAATGTAACTTGATTTTTCACCGAACAGTGACCAATATTATGTTTGTCCAGTTTTTTATTACTGACCGAATTTCATCAATCAATTTGCAGTGGGGACAATAATCTACGTGACTGAACATCATGTGTATTATGTTTTGATGTTAGATGATCAGTAGTAGTTGACAACAACACCCTGGAACTAGGTTCCACGCTAGTTGGTACTCGTCAATAAGACGAACCTCCAAGCTTCTTCAAGGAGGTTAGTCGCTGCCCGAATAGCTCGCTGTTAGTGTGTCGGGCTATCAAGCCGGATTGCACAAGTTTGAATCCTATATAAATAATCAGTTCTCTGAAGTTTTGAGGTGCCATTTTCTGACGACCGCCGACTAACAAGAAACCTAGGTCCAAGGTATCCTGTCTGCTGTCTCCGTTCATTTATTACCAAAGATGTCTTTGGTACGTACACATCGCAGTTAATTATTTATTGTACATCATCGTCATGTATTTTATACAAACGAATTCTACACAGTACTGAGATGGCTTTTCTAGTGTTCTGATTGATAATTTTGAGGCAGGTGAAGATTTCGAGTAGGGAATCGAACATTACCCTGCAAGTTGACTGGTTTTTATAAAATTCTCATTGTTAGCGTAGGCAAGATCACAGCGGAAATCAATATAGTAACTATAATAATCAAAAGCATCGTTTTAGTCCATGGTGTATAAGTATCTGATAATTGAATCACAATTACAAAGAAGCACTCATTTATGGCATTCATCGTACATCATATTGTTCAATGCATTAAGTAGGTGAAATTGACTAACATTAGATTTGCGTTTCATCTCTAGTTTAGGTTATTTGTCAGTCACTTTAGTTCCACTTTTCAGTTCATGGTTGTTTTTTTTTCTAAAAAAAATTAACTTGGAAAATACCATCTTGTTGACTACTTAACAAATGGATTCATGAATTACATAGACATAAACTCTGTAAATGTACTTCAATGTATTGTTGAAGTCAGATGATAAAGTTTAAAAATTCAGTGTAAAACAGTCCGTCAGTCAGTCATACACAACGTATAACCTGGGACATATGTACATCGACGCAAATTGGGATACTTCAAAAGCACAGTGAAATGAAAATGTCGGTACAAATTCCAGAAATGGTAGAATTAGTAAGTGTTAGTAATATAAAAAAATAGTAATCTAACATGCGATTAGAGAGAATATAAATTAGTGGAATAAAAAACAAACAAAGATTTACAAATTTGAGATCTATGAGAAAGATAAATAATGAATAATTTTGAGCCATTTCATCCAAAGTCTCTAACTCTTAGTTACGATAATTACATGGACCTCATTTAAGTAGTTTGCTTAACAAAACAATGTTAATGGGGGAAATAGAAAGTTTCTAAGTCAGTCTCTTATAATAAAAGCTGAACACTTATAATTAACTATTTTTTCTCTCATAAATTTCACTACTAGTAGCCAATGTTATTGGAGCCCCCAAATGCCCTGGTATGGCCGAGAGTGGGGTGGGACCGCCCTCCCTCTCGAAATGCTCACACATGGCCACGCGTATACAGCCTCTGCCAGGGAGGTCCTACTCACTGCATTCTCGTGGCGGGGGTGTTGTTTACGAAAATGAGAATGTCCGGTGCTTTAACCGGATTCCAAACCAATGGTGCACATGGGCTCCAGGATCCTGAGGGAACAAATGGCGTATGAACCGATTTTCGGTCACCGGCTACCATGGGATTGCATCTCTTCATGATGCTCCACTGCCTTGTGGATCAGACCTTTAGGTCAAAGGCTCGGGGTGTGTCCCCCTAAGAAAACCACCTGCTTCGGTTTGGGCACCTGGGTAATATCACAGCCCTCACACAAATAGAACGATTTATGTGGCGCATATCTGTTTTGGTGCCTCCTTGTACCAACGTTTATGTGTTTATATAAATGAATAAATAAAAATGTTATTGGAAATTTAAGTAAATTTAAACTGTTTTCATTGGTATATAAGGATTTTAAACCATAAGTTTCATGTCCTTTAATCTTTATGAAATTGAACAATAAAACCTTTAACATTTCAATTTATTTAAATATGTAATACATGTACGAACCCCATGTACAATTGGTTATTTTAAAGCAGCTGTATATAGTAAAAATACAGGTAAAAGTATACCATACTAATGGCATTGAGTGAGCTAATCAAATGTAAGATAGTGCCTCATAAATTTTTGCGCGAAATGGAAAGTACAATAAAATATAGCTTATATGCTTATTATAAACTTGGTGAAACTTGACATTATTTGATTTTTCATATGCTTGAAACTAAGAAAAAAGAATCGAGTATTCAATCAAACATTGGATATGACATGGTGTTAGATCTATTGAAGCGTCCAGGTCACCCAATTGAGATACGCGCAGAATTGAAGTTCTCAAAATAACGATTTGTCTGGAATAGCGGCTGTTTATAGAATAATACACAAAAATTAGTTACAAACCTCAACTTGTGAGGTGTCTGTGACGTTTAACGCGTCCTTTTGTATAAAGTGAATAAAGACTCACTGTAACAGTAACATAAAGAAGAATTACAACATACGACAGTACAAAACACAGATGATAGCTGTGTCTAAACTTGGTAACAGTTTATCAACAAGCGAAACCCGAACCAAAAGCAAAACAATATGGAGACTGTTGCGTTTAAACAAATACACAAAACTGTAGATAACTGTTACAGTGATTATAATGACAGATACAAGAAACGTATATGTAAATATTTCAGAGTATTACACGATGAACTTACGTTACAACATAAGTCTAAAAATTACTGGGTGTACAACTACTTACTTAATGTAAATATGTAGTATAAAACACTACACAAAAGAGTGGAAGAGTAGCGAGGAAGAACAATGTAAAACAAACTTAACACGTGGTGTGTGTGCTAAATTACGAGAAATGTCTGGTCCTGATGTATACTGTTTGTTCAATTATTCAATATGGTTTAACGTATTATTACAGTTATTTGCGTAGTTAGATAATACTCTCCTATTCTAACTGCTCACTTATAATCTCACCTTTAACTTTCTTAAGTGTATAAACAAAAAACTGGCGAAGCTTTACTGCATTATGGTTGAAGTCAGTTTGTGACAAAAACCCTATAGTATTACAACCTAAATACATAACAGCCTAACTGCTAATATGTGAACTTAACTATTTTCTTTTGCTATAATGAATAATTAAACGTGTAAGCGTTCATCAATCATATCAAAAGTATTATTCCACTGTAATGTTATTACTTTTCACTGTTTTATAACTAAACTAGGCATTGTTTTCTGATTGGCTAATAAGTCAGTCATACAAAGTCGTCAGTATAGTCTACTTTTACTAAAATATCCTTTCATCATACAATCTATAACTTAATAACACATTAAGAGTTATTATATTCAATTGTATAAATTGATGTAAACTATGTGATAACTTTTAAGCTCTTTGATCTATTGAACTTGTTAACGTGTTGAGGAGACTGCATTTTTCACTTTTGCCATTCTTTTCTTTCTCGATGAAACATAATGATTTCTAGTGTTCACAAATTTATGATTATTTATTTAAACACATAAACATTGGTACAAGGAGGCACCAAAACAGATATGCGCCACATAAATCATTCGATTTGTGTGAGGGGTGTGATACTACCCGGGTGCCCAAACCGAAGCAGGTGGTTTTCTTAGGGGGACACACCCCGAGCCTTTGATCTAAAGGTCTAATCCACAATGCAGTTGAGCATCGTGAGGAGATGCAATCCCATGGTAGCCGGTGACCAACGATTGGTTCATACGCCATTTGTTCCCTCAGGATCCTGGAGCCCATGTGCACCATTGGTTTGAAGTCAGGGTTTTCTAACTTCCCTAGATGGATCCTTCATATCCACCAACCCGGTTAACGCGCTGGACGTTCGCATTTCGTCCTCCGAATTTCGTAAACAACAGCAGTCTGGCGTGAGTTCAGTGAGTAGGACTTCCCTGTCAGTGGTTGCATGCACGTGGCCTTTTGAAAGCATTTCGAGAGAGAGAGAGAGAGCTGATTCTCTCCGCTCTCGGTTTACCAGAGCATTTCTAGTGTACACTAAGTAAACATTAATTATAAAATTGAATTATTATTATTAATTAAGTACTCATGATTTTATTTTCACTTTCATTATTGTTTGTGTTGCATTTATATCTATTGAAATAGTTATTAAATACACACAAGTATGTAATCTTTGTAAATTTCAATAAATTCTTGTACAACTATGCTGTTCATTAGGAATGCTAGTGAGATTTCTATATTAGCTATCACTGTTTGTTAATGGTTTTTACTCCTCTAATTTGCCTCATATTAATGTTCATTGCCAAGATAAATGTGACCTTTGCTTAAGCATGTTTTACTTCTTATTTTTTTTAGCATGTGTTTTATTATAATAGCTTTATGGTGTATATTTGTTTGCCTATTGTATTTATGTGTCTATACACAGTTTACAAAATTGATGTTTGACTATAACTTTTATAATATATTTAATATCTTCTATGTTGTTTATTTGTATTCTCTCATATAGATAATTACTATTATTATTCCAGTTGGATTGGAGTTTTGAAAATGTTTTGTACTTATGATTAATAAACTCCTGACTATTATCTTATAACTTGACTTATTTCTTAAATTTGTAAGTTAATATTCAATACAAAACGATCTCAGTTGTTGTTTTAATATCCCTTTGATTTTTAATGACAGCCCAAATAAAATCGGCCTTTGACGAATACAAATTAAACTAAGCTCCACACGACTTGTTTAACTAAACTATTTATTAAATATAGAAATATGAACTAACGTTTTCCAGCCCAAAGACAGTACTCCATACCTTACAAATTTCTTTATTTCTACTGTTTGTTATGATATGAATCATGTATGTGTATCACTACTGTTATTTTCATACATTCGGTTCCCTTTGCAAATTTAGATAAAACAAAAACTGCATTAATTACAGTACTCATTTTGTTTCTTTACTTCAGTTGCTAATAAGTTTGACTGTGCTGAATTACTGCGACATATTGGTATTCGAAAAAAACTAATTGTTAAACAAGAAAGGATGTTTTTCGAATGTAAAAACAGTTCAGAGTTATTGATTGAGATCATGAACCGATTCATGTTAGACCACCACCTTTGGAGACCTGGAAGCACTGGACGGCCGTTTCGTCCTATTGTGGGACTCCTTAACAGTGCGCATTCACGATCCCAATCGCGGGGTTCGAACCCAGGGCCTTCGGTCTCGCGCGCGAACGCTTAACCAACTGGACCACTTAGCCGACATCCAATGGTGATAGTGTCTAACATCAACCAATCCATGAAATTGCGCGACCAACTTTCATTGTACTGAGGTAGATACCTGTCTCTACCCGACATGGATTAGCGCCACTGATCACGGCTTCTCACTAGAACTCCGAGAATTCCCTCACGAAGCTAGTCACTAGTGAGCATATGTTGATTACTAGTATAGGGGTTGTGGAGATTATTAAGTTTTTGATTGAGATCATGCACCGATTGATGTTAGTCCCACAATAGGACGAAACGGCCATCCACTGCTTCCAGGTTTCCAAAGGTGGTGGTCTAACATCAATCGGTTCATGATCTCAATCAAAAACTTAATAATCTCCACAACCCCTATACTAGTTCAGATTTAATTTTTTCCAGTCTAAATCATGAACTAATTTCAACTAGATCGACCACCATTGAAAATCTGAAAGCACTAGACTACCGTTTCGTCCTAGTAAAGGAGTCCGCATTTACAACTGCCTCCTTGGGAATCGAACCCAGGGACTTCGGTTACATGTGCTGACGCTAAATTTTTGGATCATTGACTTAGCATCCAACGGCGTTGATGACTACAACTGGTTTACGATATTGTGCAACCTTCATTAATTGTCTGCGGTGGATAACTGTCTCACACTCGACACCGATAACACTCCACTGGTCTCGATTTCTCACCAAAGTCCTAGGAGTTCCATCCTGAAGCTAGTCACCAGTGCGCACGTGATTATTATTAATGTACGGTATTTGTAATACCTCATCTCTAGTCTGTAACGCACTACTCACGGCTCTTCTTATAACGCTGCTACGGTTACTGCCGATCCAAAGCCCGAAAAATGATAAGGTGTCGGGCATGATATTAGAAGACAGCATTTAACCACTGTCGAACACTATCAGAAAAGGCCAAGGCGCAGACCGAATACACAGAAAAAACAAGAGAGTGAAGAAGAACTGTAGATTCGACAAGTAGAAATACGTGTAAGATTTAGCAATGGTGGCGGAAAAAGATGCAAGTGAAGGAAATGTGAAACAAATACATGGTACAACGAATAAACTGGTAGGGAAATATAGTAAACTAAAGCGATTAGTCGCGAACACAGAAGGCAAACCAATGACTGGGATTCAAGAATAGAGGAACAGGTGAGAGTACTTTGAATAACTCTTGAATAAATTAACTCCGGCTAACCCACCAGACGTCGAAGTACCACACACTGATTTCCCTATGAATGTCACTCGAACAGCGACCAGAAAAATCGGCACGGGTATCAGACATAGCAAGAGTGGGAAAGCATCAGGACTAGATAACACACCAGTTGAAGCACTGAAGTCAGAAATAGGAGTAACTGCAAATATGCTCCACATCTTATTGAGAAAGACTTGTGAGGAAGAATAAGTGCCAACAGACTGTAAAGAAGGATACCGAGAAAGTGTGAGGACTATTAAAGCATCACATTAGTGTTGTAGCGGATGAGAACTCTGGTGGGGACAACGAATTTATTGTTTGAAGAAAATTACAGAATTCGTAAAACGTGAAAACCGTACATTAATTACTTCATTTACAAATCTCTCATCAATTGTTTTTTACATTCTGAACGATTTTTCCAAGTCATACACCCTTTCTATCCTCGTTCTGTTTTCCCCAACTCGATTTTTTTAAGCCTTCTGCTGCCATGTTTCCTACTTCCGACTGGCGTCGACACGCATAAATAGTATAAACTATCACTACCGGGAAAAGTTTTCAACAATGTTGTTGAATCAGATGAAAGGTTCCGTAGAATACCATAGATTATCATTGAGCAATCACTTGAATGTGCTATCCGCTAATAAACTGTAATCGCTGCTTCTTTTTGCCTTGTGAGTTCATACGCCATCGGAATTTACTTAATAACGGTTATCGGGGTGATTGATGAACGTAACCTAAGGATTTATTTCGAAGACAAGCCACTACACTGCAAGGTCCTTAACTACGAGAAAGGATTTTTCTTAGTGGAAAGTAAAACCTTATGGTAACTTTGTCACAATAGACCGCTTTGTTGTAGCTAGACGATTTAGATTCGGCAGATGACCTAGATCTATCGTAAACCAACACATAAAGGTGAAAACAGTCAGTTTAGTAACCGTATGTGCAAAAGTAGTCATCAACATACACAAGAAAAAAGCAAGATCCTGAAATACAACACAAAGAGCACAAACACAATTACAATTGATGGAGATGCTCTGGAAGAGGTGGAGACTTTCAGATATCTGGTCAGCATCATTTGTAATTTGGAGGACTTGATGCATGTGTGGGTGCAGAGATTGACAAAGAGCAGTATTCTCACAATTGAAGAACATGTGAACATATGGAACAACTGTCTGCAAGCCAACATCAAGGTCAGAATTTCAATATAAACTTCAAGACAGTTCTGTTGTACGGAGATGAAACGTGAAGAACTACTACAACCGTCATCAATAATGTACAGGAATTTAAGAACACGCAAGATACTCAATATCGATTGACTAGATGTCATTAACAACAAGCTGCTGTGGGAGAAAACAAGCTAGTTCTGGCTGTAGAGAAAATACTTTATAGGTGGACGGGATGAAGATTATGAAAATCATTAGACCGCATCATGAAACAAGCCGTAATTTGGAATCCTGAAGGGAAATAGAAAAGAGAGAGACCATAGAATACATTGTGTCGGGAATTTGAGGGAGGCATCACTGATTTTTTGAATATAAAGGGCAGGTTTGGGCTATAATTCACAAATTTGAATGTTCTAGAATTAGGCTGTTTTGTTGGTTAGCTTGAATGTACTTATTGCATTCATTCTATGCCCAGTCTTAGTTATCGGACTATGGAACTACGTAGAACATTTGCCTCGAAACTATGTTTTTTTTTTCAAATATATTGAACAAAGCGTGTAAATGTCCATCGTTTGGATTGATGTAAGCAGGTGGAGATGACATATAGTGGAGACCGTTTTGCCGCCGTTCGTGCTATTGAACAACGCGTCGTATGTAGTGCGAACATGTTTGAAGGAAGAAAATACTTGTTAGGCCTATCTTTAATGAGCTTGACGTATGATTTAGTCACATTTGAATAAAAATTGGATAAATATACTTTTCTTTGCTGTTTTTTTCTTCTGAACCTATATTATACAAGTGTTCAATATTACATTTATATTTTAAAGATGTATTGTTAGCGGGACATAGACTAGATTAAGGCATGCTCAATGCACGATTGCTTTGCTGCACGCTGATTGGCTAAGAATTAGCCAATCAGCACCAGTCGATACTTGGAGAATACTCTAGAATCTTCTCATGTAAAAACTATAAATATACTAACGTTTTCCCTATTGCACTGCTTACTTGCATCTAACCTTGTCACTTGGAATATAATCTCTTTCCTGATCAACCGTGTTCTGATTTGGGGACTTGTCGAGTGATTTGGTGTCCAGGAATACTAAGCAATAGGAATAGCTGGGTTGTAACCGTAAGAAAGAGATTATAACATGCATCTATTATCTCAAAGACAATTATTGATTATTGTATACATCTATCTCCAATTGTTGTTGTTTTTATTGTCATCAGTACTTTTTAATTATCATGTTCAACATTTTTTCCAAATATTGATTTTATTCTTTTTCTCTAGAAGATCTCCACAAATATCATGAACAAGAATTTTGAGCTTAGATCTATGACTTACATAGAGATATATCTTAATGACATATGGAAAACATCTTTTCTTTTAATAAGTATTACTCGTACTTTTTGTTTTTTATTTGTATAATCCATAATGAATTGACTAAATTTCGGTGTTGTTGATCTAAAATAATGTGAGAAATCTTTTTGTAATCTAATTTGCCTTAATTGAGATTTTCATTCATATTGAACCAAACAAACAACTTTGTTTAATAAAATTGAAAGAGGGATAATGATGATTGAATGAAATATGTGAAGTACAATCTTTTTTCCATACTTTGAAGAGTTCAATTCTTATCTTGAATATGAGAGTTGGATGTGTATTGTAAAAACAAACGTATTTGAATGATAACATACTAAACAAATTTATTACCTAACCATAATCTTAAAAAGAAAGATTTTTCTATTATAAACTATGTTTTACTCAATAGTAGATTTTTCCGCCATGGTTTTTAGTTTCATAATTATGATGGTTACTATGGAGATTGTTATATATATATATATACAATTACTATTATTGACTGTTAAATGGTTCTTTAGGTTTGATCTTCTGACACTATTCTTTTCTCTGCTCGCATAAAACGCTGATTTTCGTTCCTAGATACATTGCTGCACACATATACTTCTTGTTCTCACTTATCAGTTGCCGTTATTTGCGTTTGCAGACATTCCCATTACGTGATTATTTACTTTGAATTATATTTATCATATTTGTAACTATTGGCTACTTCTTATAATTGTCGATTACGAGACCAAAACTCGAACACACATCCTACTGACTGCTTAAGTAAAGTCCCGCAATTTTCTATTTGTATATATTATCAATTGTCTTGATACTTTTTGCATTATTTTGAAATTCAGCAGTAAGCTCATTGAATTTCTTATCACCTACCACCTGCTGTAATTTAGACAATTAACCCACTATGTAAAAGTATGTGTGAATCTAATTGAGCTCAATCTTTATCTATCCCCCCATTGTTTGTTGACACAGACAATCAACGACTTACCTACAGTTAATTAGCACTCATAAAATACATGGATTTCTCGACCTTTACACTCTTGCTTCCCAACGCACTTGGCTTTCGCGTGCTCGCGAATTTTATTAATTATCATTAATACACTCACTATCCCAGTACTATTAGGAGAATTGGTGCTGTAAGTTCTTTACTGTGCAGCTGTTCGTCCCTTTCCCAGCATACATGCCCTAGCACAGTACAATTTACAGTCACTAATCTTTGGAGATTTGATCTTGAACGAATCGCTACGATAGAGAAGTCTAGTCAATACAAAATAACAATTGTTTACGAAGAGATCATTTGCATGCAAGGTAAAAGAAAATATATAAATCAGCTCGCCGAACTGTGTTGATAATTTTACTGAAGACTTTAGGTATTAATTCAATCCAAGACCTTCGTTTGATACCTCTCGAGTTATTTTTCTCTACATAGGGTTCCACCTTATAACTATGGATTCTAGTTTACCATGATTTTGAAGATAACTAGGTATTATGTGCTTACTGAGAAAGAAAACAATATTCAATAAAATAGGATATATATTTGTTTTAAATCGTTAATGACAAAATACATCAATTAATTTACAAAAAAGTGCTAGGCATCTGCGAACTGGTCCGGTTCACCGAATCTTCCATTATCTACAATTTGTTTTGAAAAACGAGCGGTGGAAATTTTTAATCATTGAAAATAACGAACAAATAAATGTCGTCGACTATAGTTCATGATGAGATTCACCAATATTTAATTTATTTATAAAATACAAATGTATGTACTAGAATTTGATTTATTATCCAGTTCCCTAAGTCAAGGCAGGCGGAAACCTGTGACCAACTGCTTGAAAAATTGAATTAACCACTAAGCCATCGTTCCTAGTAGCGTATATTTGACATAATGTTATTATTATTATGGAACCGAATTATTGGGAACATAATCATACCCTTAAAAAGTCAAAACTATCTGAAATGAGCGCTGCGTTATATATTATTTTATTGAATTTGTTTCGATATGAGATATTGGGGACACCCATCATACAGCTAAGTCGCACCTATACAACTGCACTTTAGTCTGAATAAAGTCAGAAAACAGTTTTGGCTTCATAGGATGTAGGATTATATATTATAAAACTGTATCAAACAATAACTGACGCTAAAAACTTTTATTTAGAGAAATGTGCATTACTGAGAAGTCCCACAATAGGACGAAATGGCCGTCCAGTGCTTCCAGGTTTTCAATGGTGGTCTAACACCAATCGGCTCATGATCTCAATCAAAAACAAATAATCAATCAGAAAAATGATCAGTTTAGCATAGCTAAACAGTCACCAATAAAACTAACTTTGAATTAACTACTGAAGTGTTAAAGAGGAAATTGTGCGATAAAATAATATGGTTATGCAACGTATAACTTACGAACACCTTCACAATTATCATGAATCATATGAATGAGATTCGATGAAGATTTGTCTAATTATTTGTTATGCTATTAAAACTCATTATTTCAAAAGAGCATGACTCAAATAACCAATGAGTATCAAAGGAAGTAATCACTAGTTATTAGAAGACAGCAGATGGGTATACATGTAAGGTTGCTGGTAAGCCGGGATAAGGCAAGTTCACGATTTTTTAAAGTCGGGATATCATTTTATGAGATTAGTTCTATATTTTGTAGTGTAACATTATTTTAGGTCAATATGTTTGCAACAACGAAGTGTAAATTTCGTACAGTATGATAGGTGTGAACCTTTAAAAAGAGGATGAGAAGTAAAAACCTTGAACAGTAATAAGAAATATTTTTAACAGTTGAATTCACGAGTCGATCTGAGCTAGACCAACACTGAAAACCTGGAGGCACTGGACAAGGAGTCCCATACTAGAACGAAACGGTCGTCCAGTGCTTTCAGGTCTTCGATGGTGATCCAGCGTAGATCGACTCGTGAATTCAACTGTTAAAAATAATAAAATCTCTACAAATCCCCCTACTGACAAAGACATGTAGCAAAAAATTAAATCGAACTATACACTTAAGATTACTTCTCACAATAGTTTCACGTTGCCTTAGTGGTTATTTAAGTCGTTTGGAAAAGATGATAAACTTATCACAGAAAGTCGCTTAGCTATTTAGTAATATAACTCACTATTCGTATGGTTTTTGAATTCCATACCCTGATCATTAATTTCATATTCATCATCTTCTGCGAAACCCTCGAAGTCTGAATTATCATCTTCAGGATCCGGATTTAATGCTTGACAGTCGGCTAGTGCTTTATACATGTCTTCGAGCTGTGCAGAATCTTGTGGAACCAAGCGGAGGACGGACGTAGAACCAGGGCAGTCTGGAGCGCGGTCACTATCAGAGTCTTCTTTTTCTTCATCTGAACCTTCTGCATCAATTTGCATGCCATCTTGCTCGTTCTGTGACTTCGTATCAGATAAATTATCAGTATTATTTGAATCCCATACACGATCTCCGTCGATCATTACTAATAAATGTGGATGAGGAAACAAATTATTGGGATGATCTCCAGTCTGGTCTACCGTATTCCTGGCAATAGCATGTAAGGTTATTTGTGAATAAGGAATAAAGAATTGTTTTGATGTACCTTCCCATGTAAAACATCTACAAGTATAAAGGGATCAATATTACTTCTATTTTCAAGGAGAAAATTTAAATTGTTATGAATATTCAATTTAGACTAGAGGTGGAGTGAAAAGTGACAATTAATGTGTAATTTTATTCAATAGTAAAAATATAACAAGATCGATAAATATTTGTGCGCCAGGTTGCATCTTACTTATTTCTGTCGTTTTAGTCAGTCAGCTACAACGTAGGACCAGGTACATATGTACAATGATCCAAGTTGCCACGCCTCATTAGCACAACAAAATGAACACCGGATTGATAGAAGTAGTTGATTCAGTGGTGGTAATATATGAAAGAAAGATTGCATATAAGGATATAATAATACAGGAAGAAAGAATTAGTTCGTAGAAAGAAAGATATAAAGCAATTTTAATCTCAGTTTGAGGGAAGACAAACACTGTATACACCTAAGCCATTGTGATCAATTCTGAGCCATGTCACACAATATTTTATTTTATTTCAACACATAAATATTGGCACAAGAGGGCACCAAATATATATCCGCCACACCAAATTTGTGTGTGTAGGCTGTCATATTGCCCGGGTGCCCAGACCGAAGCAGGTGGTTATCTTAGGAGGACACACCCCGAGCCGTTGACCTAAAGGTCTAACCCACAAGGCAGTGGAGCATCGTGAGGAGATGCAGTCCCATGGTAGCCGGTGACCGAAAATTGATTTATACGCCATTTGTTCTCGCAGGATACTGGAGCCCATGTGCACCATAGATTTGGAAACCGGTTAAAGCGCCAGACATTCGCTTTTCGCCCTCTTGTTTTCGTAAACAATACCCCCGCCACGAGAACGCAGTGAGTATGTCTTCCCTGACAGAGGCTGTATACGCGTGGCCATGCGAGAGCAGTTCGAGAGGGAGGGCAGTCCCATCCCACTCTCGGCCATACCAGGGCATTTCATGTCACACAGAGTCTCCAACCATTGGTTACGATAGTCACGTGAACCCCAACCGAGTAGTCTGCATCTACCAACATAGCTTAGATCAGAAGTTAGTGATTTTATGGACTGATGCCACGTTTTGGTTTGACCGCCCTTAACTTTCTTCCTACCTCCTCCAACAATAGTCAGGATTGCGCACAGTGCTAAAAGGTGGTCTAGACGTATATTATTTCTTTGGAATCCGTACACATGGCCCAAGGGTAATTATCCAGTTAGCTTTGCCTAACTGTTGGTGAGAAGTAACATGAGTTTTTTTGAGATTTGTCAGCAACTTATCGCGATTTTATTGTCTTTAAGATAAGTGACCTGGATGAGGGAAAGTGAAATGTAAGGAAATACACAGTACATATAAAAATACAACAAATGTGGTTTCTCGATTATTTAGTTTAATTCTTTTTACACGAGCAAAACTGATTTTTCACCAACTATTGGATGGTAAACTCAGTATTTTAATAATCCAGTATGAGTAATAAGCCTAACGATATTATTATATTTCATGTAAATTTTTAATATAACCTATTTCCATAACTTACTCTTCAGATATTTTTAAGGTTCCAGTATCTATCAGAGAAGAATCCTCATAAAGTGAAATATTAGATTGTAGAAAGTGTACATCGGAATATTCGCCGTCAGCGACCATTTGTGCAAAGTCCAGGATATAACTAAGTTAAACGAGCTTGAATAAGAAACGTTTGTAATCGCTAACTAGATTGGAGATTCTGAAAAGTTAAAATGGATAGGATAAAAAATAATGAAAATACTTCAAAATTCAGGTAAAACGAAATGGAAATCTTAATTAGCCTTATCAATAAACTGTTTCACAACATTCACAAATAAAGAACTACAAAACATGAGTAGACAACTGTAAGACTGTTATCCATTGAATGTTACAAGCATAGTTTCACCAGTTAAAACACGATCGAGGATCTGGTTTACATAAGCTTGCGAACATAAATTTTTAATAGCGTGGAAATGCTGACTCCGAGTCTTTCCGATATTCCTGTGACGTGGTTCAAATACACTACATATTTTAAGAACTTTTTAGATAATTTCATGTCCCGCTAAAATCTTGTTACAATTCACTGAGTACATGTATAAAAAAGACGTAAAATTTTATGGAGCTACATCAGTGAGTTTTACCGACTAATTTTTTACTCTTTGCGCCTTGCGATCATTAATTAGTAGGTTATGTCCTTTTCTGGTTACTTGTCAGATTACTAATATGGATCCCTGGTAGATAGATTTTGTAATAATCTATTGATCCTTCAGAGCACTTCAACAATGAATCGTAAATTTATTTATTTATTTGAACACATAAATATTGGTACAAGAGGGCACCAAATATATATGCGCCACACAAAACAATGAGAATTCGAAGAGAAAAAAAACAATAACGAACAGATTTGTGTAAGGTAGTGTAATAATAAGAATCGGGGAAACGGAAAGGTACAATCAGAAATCTTTCAGTTAAGGAAGGAACAACCATTTTTTAATGAAGAAAGTAAAAGGTTACAGCAGGATCGCCACTGGCTTCTATCCTGAGCCATATCTGATAATGTCTCTAGCCACCGTGTTGCATTATCTCTAGGACCCCAACCAGGGAGTCGTGAAGGACCTACACAAGCCAGCCCTTTGCAGCTTTCTTTCATGCCACGACACCATGTCATATACTAACAACTTTTCCGCTTTTTCCAACCAGTCCCAGAGTCGGCAAGTAATGCACGACGTGGAATTCTCTGGGATGACATTCGTAGAACATGTCCAAGTCACCGAAGTCGATGTTTCAAGATGATGAATCCAATTGCATTATTGTCTCTGCGTCCGAACACACGATGCCGAACCTCTGCATTACTAACATGGTGTTGCCACCGGATGTCAGAAATCCTTCGGAGACAGCGACGATCGAACACAGAGAGTCGTCTAACGTCCTCAACTCGGAGAGGCCAGGTTTCACAAGCATAGAGCAAAACTGCTCTCACCGACGCGTTGTAGATCCGACCTTTTACAGCCAGACTAACATCACGGAGTCAAAGATAGCCCAGATTGGCATAAGCCGCCCTGGTTTTCATTATACGTGCATTGGTCTCACCACTCGCCCCCACCAGTACTTACGCAGCTATCCAGATACACGAACTTCTCGACTACTTCTATCTGCTCACCATCTAGAGTGAGTACAGGATTAGAATCCCACCAGTCTTGTAGAAGTACTTTGCACTTCAAAGGTGCAAAACACATACCATACCTACGGACACTGATTGCCAACTGATTAAGTGCGGATTGCATACCTTGGGCATTATCGCACAGTAAGACAATATCGTCCGCATACTCAAGGTCGAGAAGTCTTTCTCCAGGCAACAGATCCACACCGCCATTACTTACATCCATCAGAGCTGTTTCCAGAATGTCGTCGATGGCAAAGCTGAAGAGGAATGGTGAGATTGGGCAACCCTGCCTAACCCCACTGCTCGAATGGAACAATGGAGAGAGATGGTTGTATGCTCTCACTCTGCCTGAGGTGTTTGTATATAGGGCTTTTAGGATGTTAATAAACTTCTCAGGCACACCCTTCTTCAATAGACAATCCCAGAGAACAGTTCTGTCCAACGAATCGAAGGCAGCCCTGATGTCAAGAAACACTACGATTGTTGGCCTTTGATAAGTATGGCGGTGTTCTAACATTTGGCGGAGGGTGAAGATATGATCAATACATCCTCGACCAGAACGAAACCCGGCCTGCTTCTCGCGAGTCAATCTTTCTCGGGTTTTGAACAACCTACGAAGAATGACGGAAGCCAATAGCTTGGACGCAATTGGAGGTAGACTTATCCTCCGAAAGTTGTTACAGGAACGACGTGAACCCTTTTTAAAGATAGGGACAACTATCGACTCATTCCATGACGTTGGTACACTCTCTAGTTCCCAAACCTTTGTAAACAACTTAGTCATTTCCTTAGTCAGAAAGTCACCAGCATCTTTAAAAAGAGCCGGAGGTAAGTCATCTGGGCCAGGTGATTTGTAACGCCTCACGAGTTGGAGTTCCTTGCGAACTTCCGCTTCATTTGGTGGATCAGTCGTCACCGGCCATGGAGGGCAGGACAGTCTGACCGATGTTGCCGGAGCAGCAGGCCAGTTGAACTGCCCTTCGAAAAATTCTGCCCATCGTTCAAGACGTCGATGGATGTTAGTGATTGGCGTTCCGTCACCTTTGCAGATTGTTCCGCTCACACCAGACTTCTTGCTGCCAATGGCTCGGATGAGTTGGAAGAGCTTCCGGTAATTACCAGATGCAGCTGCTGCTTCCAGCTCATTAGCACGCTCCGACCACTAGACTTCTCGGTCCTTACACAAGCTTTGCCCGATCTTATTACGTAACATCCTTTTTTTGTGGTCAAACTCACGGTCACCCGGAGTAGACCGACGGGCTTCAATGAGTTATAAGGAACCAGAAGAAACCCAGTGCTTAAAAGCGGGACGTTTCGCGAACCCACAACTGACTGTTCCCGCCATTTTCATGGCGTCATGCAATTGCAACCAATGCTCACCTATACTTTTCGGTGGAATGGTAGCTAGCCTAGAAACTAGCTCGGTTCGATACTTACTAGCAACAGAAGTTGCAACCAGCTTGCTAACATCAATCCGTTGATGGCGTTCACTTCGTTGTCCACTGAAAAGTAAGGCAAGATTGGCGCAGACCAAGGCATGGTCAGAGTCCAGATAGGTACTCCTAAAGGAGCGGCAGTCTTGTACACAACCACGCCAGCGGTAGCTGATCGCGATGTGGTCAATCTGAGTCCAGGCTTGAGATGTAGAGGGAGGACGCCAGGTGGCACATCGGCGATGATTGTGCCGAAAGTTAGCGCTAGCCAGAAACAGGTTGTGGTCCGTGCACAGTTGCAGTAGACGGTCCTCGTTATCTGTCCTGCGACCAACAAGTCCCCGTCGGCCACCTAAACGACTTTCTTCTGCGCCTAGACGCCCAACCTGAGCATTTAAGTCTCCGGCTAGTACTACAATATCTGTCGAACGCACTTTCTGGAGAAAGAACAGATAACTGGTGGTAAAACTCATCCTTGATTGCATCCGGGCTGCAATCTGTCGGGGGATAGGCGATGACGAAAAGACATCGTTTCTCATGCCGATTTCTTCTCACTTTTATAGAACTTTCTAATCTAACAGTGCATAACCGACTGTTAATGGGGATCCAATCGATTAGTGCTGCCTCAACTCTAGCGCTCAGTGCGACACCAACGCCAGCAACACCAGACGAAGATGCCACAGGGTCCCCGGATAAGCGCACGTAAAACAAGCTTTTCGAGATCGAATTTGTAATACTTCGCCAGAGTCTTGAATACGGGTCTCGGATAGACAACAAACATCAATATTAAGACTTTCCAAAGACATAGCCAGCCCTATCTGTTGTCCGACCTGCATAAATGTGCGAACGTTGAAGGCAGCCAGTTTGAATGGTGCACGTGGTTTCAGAAAAACTGCTTCAGTTCTCGTATTCGGTGGTAACATACAATTTTCAACCGGACAGTGACTCGAGAACGTTTAGATATAGTCGAATTTCCACCAAAGACGAGCTGCTGTATAAGTCGAAAAAATAAGTATAAACAGAGTGGGAATAAAAGAGGGTGAATAATGACGTAGTAAATAATAATAATAATAATAGTAATAATAATAATAATAATAATAATAATAATAATAATAATAATGCGAGACACTTTATTGTTATTTGCAGGGAGAGGAATATTTTTCGCAAGTACACAGTTTATCATGTTTTTGTGTGAGGGCTGAGATACTACCTGGGTGCCCAGACCGAAGCAGGTGGTTATCTTAGGGGGCCACACCCCGAGCCTTTGACCTAAAGGTCTAACCCACAAGGCAGTGGAGCATCGTAAGGAGATGCAGTCCCATGGTAGCCGGTGACCAACGATTGGTTCATACGCCATTTGTTCCCTCAGGATCCTGGAGCCCATATGCACCATTGGTTTGGAAACCGGTTAAAGCGCCAGACATTCGCTTTTCGTCCTCTCATTTTCGTAAACGGCACCCCCGCCACGAGGCAGTGAGTAGGACTTCCCTGATAGAGGCTGTATACGCGTGGTCGTGTGGGAGTATTTCGACGGGGAGGGCGAACCCACCCTGCTCTCGGTCATGCCAGGGCATTTGGGGGCGATAGGCTTCAAGTTAGCTGTTTAACTAACACTACCCCAATAGCCGCTAAAGAGGACTTCAATATACAAGTAATTATGTCTAAGAACAGTAAAATAACTTCATTTCAGCCTGATAATGTTGTAGTAGTAAACGGACAGCCTGGTTTAGTCACTGATATAGGGGAGGATGGACTACTAGAATTTAGGTCTTTCACTGACCCACGCAATTACATCGAAGATCCTTTCCCATCTAGTGATATAGGAATATTTATGTGCTCCGTAGTTAGCCATGAACACACATGGGTATCGGTTAAGGACATTGACTGTAAATGTATAGCCATTAATTGTATCAATTATTTAGTCATAGTTCCATTGTTGCATACTTTTATGTGAATGTATTTTGTTTCATTTGTGCTTAATTCATTATCATAAACCATTTCATTACCTCTTATGTTATGTTTAGCCCGCTAACAAACAATACGTCTTTGTTGACGTTCCTAGCAAGAAACAACTTTGCCTTTTTCCAACGGAGCTGGTCGATATCCTCCACCTGCACAACTGAGACCGACCAGATGACAATTGGTCAGTTCTGAAATGTAAAGTAATTCACGAACTCGGTGAGTAACAAACATAGAAACTATAATTTAATACAGATTCTCTGCAGTCTGCAAAGGATATGTTAGTTTCCCTCCAAATACTGGAACTTCGCCGTAAAAACACTTCAACGGAAGAAAACACCTTGCCACTCAACACTGAGAAGCCCAAGAGGTCAGTACAATAATCTTACTAACATTTTCTAGAGGTGCATTGAAGCGTAAAGAAGGATTTCTTTACAATTCAGTAGACATGGATGTTGCCGAGATGCAGGCTGGAAATAGCCACGTACAATATCCGAAATTTCGGTTGTTTGACAGAGTCGCCTCGCCAATCGCCCAGTACATTTCATTACTATTTAGATGTTAATGAATTAGTTCGACACAATTAGATACATCGCCGTCAACATTAGAATTTAAGCATGTAGGCTGTTTTTCAGAGGCCCAGTAGGTCACCTGTACTATCAAGTGAAGTTTATAAGATTTGATAGGTTGTATACAATGGTGCAGAACATGTCGTCAGGTATCACTGACTTGAGTAAAAATGTAAAGCTGTTACCAGAGAAGTTCAGTGGACGCGAACATCCGCATCAATTCGAATGCGGACTATCAAGTCAGCAGTTCCCTTCGTCATCTGAAGAGGAACTGCAGATGCTGGACACTGGTTTGCAGCAGGAAGAAACCAGGGTCAGATTTGTAAATCAACAGCACTAATTTAATAATTTGTTCGTATTACACATGGCAATGGTACCGAGATCAATGGATGATGATCCAAAAACCTCAATGCGATATGTTTTGTCGCATCTCATGACACCTGAGGTGACCAGTAATTTTACGCTACTTGGCACTTCTTCAAAACGAGCACTTCAGAAATACCGGTTTTACGGCTGCTTACGAAGTAACCTATATCTATTATCTTAAATTTAGGTGCATTAACATATCGCTTTTTGTCATCCCCTGTCAACGAAAAAGACCTTGCGAAGCTCCACCATCTCAAAACCTTGCGAAGCTGTAGGACATCGCGACACAAGGTTATTTTCACGGTGTTAGAGATAAATTGATAAGGCGTTATGGGAGGAAAAAAGAACAGGTATGTACTAATTCAAAGTGATAACTTTCCTACTGCTCTATAGTTACAGTCAACAGTTTTAACGAACATAACCGTAAGTGAAGCTTCAAGTATCTGGCTGTGCCAAAGCATGTCATTCAGACATCGTTGTAACTTCTCTTGTTCTTTACACTTCAGAACTCACAGGAAGATTATTTTCATTTTCAATAGCCGAACATGAGTGACTAAAGGAAGTAATCCGTGTTTTATTTATTTTTTAATAAACGTTATTCTGTAAATGAGCTTACTTTATTACTTACATGGGAAACTATTGAAGTGTTGAGAAAGATTGTTTGATTGTCAGTGAACTTGCGATTAAATGCACATGCCTTATTATTAATACATCACCTGTTTCTTCTTTTGCAGATCTTTTCAAATAACAATGAGTTGGAAATTACAATGAAAATGCACCGCGATTGATGCTCAAGCTCCTACTATAATGTTGTACAATAACACGCTTTTCCTTTTCAATAAAGTTATTTAAACATATGCCATTTTCCCCGTGGATTACAGTATTACTGTGGTTTGTTGTAGGGATAAAGGCGAACATGGGAGACCTTTGAGGTTATGCCAGTGGTGTTTTGAAAGTTGGACAAAAAGTAAACAATTCGGCGTATATTCAGACGAAAAGAAGACAATTCGTCGGATATCTAGGCGGAAAGTAGTCAATTCAGCGGATTAGGGTTTAGGGTTAGGATGCTAACATGCGATCGGTTTACATTGGATTTTAGAGAAGAGGTGTTTACTGACAGGCTACATCCCTAACCACTAACCCTATGGACGAGTTCCTATACCATATGCATTATGAATTCAAAGCCCCTGAACCTTTATCAAACCTTAACCTTAACAACCTTAACAAATCATGTAAAAGAAGAATATTCACTGTAATTCCTTACTTACAATATATTCTCACTTTATACTAACTGTCTTCTGATTGGCTAATAATTGTCAAGGTCATTTAAGATTCGTTCAAAGGTCGTCGCTAAATTAGTCTCTTTGACAATTCAGCGACAAGTTAGCGACAAAAAGGGGAAAATCCTCATTATTTCCCCCGGAAGGGCGAGAAAGCAGATATTTTGACGCGTTCCGCCTTTATTTTCCAACGTATTTTCTCCTTTGTAAGTTTTTATTTCCGCTTTGTTGGTTGATTGGGACATGATTATTAACAACAACGTTTAAGATGAGTACAAAAACAGTTAGTTACGGGAGAAAACGTTGGCCGGATTTTCAACATAAATTTTAAATGTTTGACTTACATTACTGCAAAGGCAATAAGATAGTGATACGACAACTCAGGTCCCGATTCTAAACGAAACACGAGGTGTGACGTAATGTTTGTATTCAGCTCCACAAAATAACCCTTTTTGCCAATATTCAAACTATTTACATTTTATGAAGTTAGACTTAGAGATTAATTATCAGATTTTTAGGGCGTTCGTCGTTTTCTAAAACATATTTATGACGGACAGACATGAAATACCTGTCTTATTCAGTTAGTTTACCTATGCCTGCTTACGACACCTTACTTACTTATTTACTTACGCCTGTTACTCCCAATGGAGCATAGGCCGCTGACCAGCATTCTCCAACCCACTCTGTCCTGGGCCTTCTTTTCTAGTTCCATCCAATTCTTGTTCAGTTTTCTCATGTCTATCTCCAGTTCTCGGCGTAATGTGTTCTTTGGTCTTCCTCTTTTCCGTTGACCTTCAGGATTCCATGTGAGGGCTTGTCTTGTGACGCAGTTCGGTGCTTTCCTCAATGTGTGTCCTATCCACTTCCAGCGCTTCTTCCTGATTTCTTCCTCCACTGGGATCTGGTTTGTTCTCTCCCACAGTACGTTGTTGCTAATAGTGTCCGGCCAATGGATCTGAAGTATTTTGCGTAGACAACTGTTAATAAACACCTGTATTTTCTGGATGATTGCTTTCGTAGTTGTCCAAGTTTCCGACACATACAGTAGAACTGTCTTGATATTTGTATTGAAAATCCTGACCTTGGTGTTGGTTGACAGTTGCTTTGAGCTCCAGATGTTCTTCAGTTGTAACTATGCTGCTCTTGCTTTGCCGATCCGCGCCTTCACATCTACATCACATCCACCCTGTTCATCAATGATGCTGCCCAAATACGTAAAGGTTTTTACATTTTCCAAATTTTCTCCGTCAATTGTGATTGGATTGGTGCATGCTGTGTTGTATCGGAGAATCCTGCTTTTCCCTTTGTGTATGTTGAGACCTACTGCTGCTGAGGCTACTGCCACACTGTTTGTCTTCTGCATCTGTTGTTGCGTTTGGGATAGAAGGGCTAGATCGTCTGCGAAGTCTAGATCATCCAACTGCATCTTAGATGTCCATTGTATCCCGCACTTTCCTTCAGACGTTGACGTCTTCATGATCCAGTCGATCACCAGGAGAAAGAGAAACGGTGAGAGTAAGCAACCTTGCCTAACACCGGTCTTCACTTCGAACGACTTTGTCAACTGTCCTCCATGCACAATTTTGCAGTGTAATCCATCATATGAGTTCTGTATGATATTGACTATCCTCTGAGGCACGCCGTAGTGTCGAAGAAGTTTCCATAGTGTTGTTCTGTCCACGCTATCAAATGCCTTTTCGTAGTCAATGAAGTTGATGTAGAGTGATGAACTCCATTCAATTGATTGTTCCGCAATGATCCGTAGAGTTGCGATTTGGTCTGTACACGATCTATCCTTACGGAATCCTTCCTGTTGGTCTCGAAGTTGGGCGTCTAGGCAGTCCTTCATCCTGTTTAACAATACCCTGTTGAAGACTTTTCCCGGTATTGAGAGAAGAGTGATGCCCCTGTAGTTATCACACTTGCTGAGATCGCCTTTCTTCGGTATTTTGATCAGAAGTCCTTCTTTGCAGTCTGTTGGTACTTGTTCCTCATCCCAAATCTTATTGAAGAGAATGTAGAGTATCCTTGCAGTTGCCGCTACGTTTGCTTTTAGTGCCTCTGCTGGGATGTTGTCCGGTCCTGCTGCTATGCCACTCTTGATTTGTCTGATGGCCATGATGATTTCTTCAATTGTTGGTGGGCCAACATTGATTGGGAGGTCCGTGGGTGCTGCTTCGATGTTGGGTGGGTTCAGTGGCGCTGGTCGATTCAAGAGTTCATTGAAGTGTTCTATCCACCTGTCTTGTTGCCCTTCAATGTGTGTGATTACCTCACCTTCCTTGCTTTTCACTGGTCGTTCTGGTTTGCGGCGATTTCCAGAGAGTTTCTTTGTCGTGTCATACAATTGTCTCATGTTTCCTTCTCTTGCAGCCTTTTCCGCCGTCGTTGCTAAATCTTCGAAATATTTACGTTTGTCGGTTCTGATGCTCCTCTTTACGTGTTTGTTAACTTCTGTGTATTCAGCTTGTGCCTTGGCTTTTTCTGCTCTTGTTCGACTGGTATTGATTGCCGCTTTCTTGTTCCTTCATTCTTGAATCTTATCCAGTGTATCAACAGTGATCCATTCCTTGTGATGGTGCTTCTTGTGACCCAGGACCTCATGACATAATGAAGTGACTGCCTCTTTGATCCACTTCCAGTTGCTCTCCACAGTAGTTCCTTCCCCATTGAGTAGATCATGGAAGGCCTGGAACTTGTTGCTGAGGACTATCTTGAATTTGTTGAGTTTGTTAGTATCCTGAAGAAAGGCCGTATTGAACTTTTGTGACATTGTCCGCCCCGTTGTCCAGAGCTTCTTGAGTTTCGATTTCATCTTGGCGACCAGTAAGTGATGATCTGATGCTTTATCAGCTCCTCTCTTGGTTCTCACGTCCTCTATAGTCCTCCTGAACGTTTTGTTGATGCAAATATGGTCAATTTGGTTTTGTGTAGAGTGATCTGCTGAAGTCCATGTGGTTTTGTGTATGCGTTTATGTGGGAATATGGTGCCGCCTATGACCAGCTTATTGAAGGCACATAGATTTGCAAATCTCCCACCATTTTCGTTTCTTTCTCCCAGTCCGTGTCGTCCCATGATGTCTTCATATCCAGTGTTGTCCGTTCCAACCTTGACGTTGAAATCTCCCATCAGAATGGTCAGGTCCTTTGTTGGGCACTTCTCGACGATTGACTGCAGCCTATTGTAGAATTGATCTTTAGCGTCTTTCTTGTAGTCGTTGGTAGGCGCATAGCATTGGATGATGTTCATTGGAATGCCCTCTTTCTTTGTTCTGAAGGAGGCTTTGATAATCCTTCGTCCGAGAGATTCCCATCCTATAAGTGCATTTTGTGCTTGTTTGGACAGTATCAATGCAACTCCTTGTGTATGTGAGTGAGGCATTTTCTTCTTCATGGCCGGAGTAAAACAGAAGTTCTCCTAAAGTTAGTTGTTGTTGTCCAACTCGCGTCCAATGTGTTTCACTGATCCCAAGTACCTCTAGGTTGTATCTTCTCATTTCTGCAGCAATTTGGAAGGCTCTTCCGGTGTCCCACATTGTACGAACATTCCATGTACCTAAATAAATGTTTGGTCTGGTTGTCAGAAGGGGCATCGGCCTCGTAACTTCCGAAGGAATTCGGCTTTCATCATGAGGCGTCATAATTCTTCTAAATGAAGACCTTCTGACTCCCAGGGCAGAGTTTAAAAGGTTTGAATAATTTTTTCTGGTTAGCGTTTTTTAGCGAGTTAGTTTTCTACGGGATGGGGACGCTAACCCCATGCCCAACCCTCCTCCTTTATCCGGGCTTGGGACCGGCAGTAGCCCCCACAGGGACTCCAGGTGGAGTTGCTTACGACACCACTGATACCGAATTGTGTTTAGTATGGTAAGGTGCTTATTTCATGTTGCCCCGCAAAACACGTTGAGGTAGGGCTCAGTGGAGTTTAACTGACCAAACGAGAATAATGAGCAGTTGACTCACTATTAAATAGGATCCGCAGTACTAATAAGACACTTCCACAGCTAGAATGTCTATAGGGGCTTTACTGCGAGACCTTGACTTGGATTACAGGTTTTTCTGTCAGATATGTTTTTGACGGTAACCACAATAGAATAAGGAGCTAACCTCTTCGCTGTTTTTAGAATTGTCACATACACATCCTGAAGATATATATATATATATATATGTTGTAGCATGTATTGAACACTTCATTATTTATCCTAGCCTTCAGGCTGACTAATAACTTGGATAGCATGTGGTTGTTGAGTCTTTCTAACCTTTCTTTCGTAGGAATTGGTCACATTCATGAAATACTCTTCATATGTTTGTAGCGGTTACTAACCACATGATGTTGGAGCTGAACATATGATTACTGGGAAAATTCATATTCAAAAGCTAACACGGAGGGAGGGTCAGCAATGGAGAACGCTCGGGCAATTAATTAATCGGATGGTGTGGCTCAGCCATTCAGGTGTGGTCATTCTTGTGTAACCGATGTATTTCCACATTGAATATATTATTCTCTCCCCAGTCAGAACGTGCTGAGCATCTTATCGCTGAGTGTCATGATACGACAATTAAGGATTGACAATGACGGGACTTTCACTTAAAATCTTATAGATTAGGTAGTCGCATGACGACAAGTTTGCAATTATGGGATTAGGTCATATTATAATAGTACTAATAATGAATTAGACCACAGTTCTAGACGATTATGCACTGGTGATTCTTTGCTTATATGTGTGATTATGTATATGGGCGTTCACGTGTTACTTAAATTGATTTGTTCAGTTTTATCAAACCTGAAGCATACAACATGACGAAATGCACATGAATTGTATTGGTGAAGTTTGCTACATGGCAAAAATGTACGGAAATTGTATTTATCTTTGCATAGTAATTGTCAGTTATTCATTGAGTCACTCCTTATATTTTAACTGTTAATCAAACGCGATCTCGAACGACCTTGATAATGTGTCTCATCACGGAGACAAAGCACATAGTTGGAAATTTTCACAGATTATAAGTCAAGCTCGTTCACTTCACTTTTAAGTTTTTAAACCAGTCCTTTTTATAAACTCGATATACTTATGCCGGTGATCAACCGATCAACCTCGTCAGTAACTCTTCCAGGGTTATTGCCGGTGTCAAGGTGGAGTAAAATGGGGCGTTAATTGTGGAAACATAAAACTAATCCAAGAGAAAAAATTTCTAAGAAAAAACTCAGTCAAAATAAACAAAACAATCCATTTAAACTGGACTATGGGAGTTGAACGGTTTTCATTTTGCAGAATTATGACGCGTAATAGTGAATGACGAACAGATAGCTGCGTAAATGAGTAAATACAACTTGGCGGCTCTCGGAATATGCGAAACCCGTTAGACACTACATGTACAGAAAAGGATAGATTCGGGAGCGATGCAGTTGCACTCCGGTCATGAAGAAGAAAATGTTCTGATGCTGTC